CATAGCTTCTTGAACACGAGTAGAATCGAGTTGGCGATCTTCTACACGGTCGGTGAGTTTATCGAGTGCTTTGCTTTGTTGCTGTAAATCTTTGGAATCTACTACTCTGTCTATTCCTTCTCCATCTCCACCTTCCATTTTTTCAGTTTCAGTTTCAGTTTTGGATCTGCAGGCTTCAATAGAATAAATTTTGAAGCTTCTGCTTCTTCTCTTGGTTTCGGCTACTAAAACCCTAAATTGCTTCACCCCACCCCCCCGGGCTGTCGATTGTCGAATCGGGAATAAGTGTGAAAGGACTAGAGTAACGTTCATTTGACCCGACCCGGTAGATTCGGTGGAATGGTCTGCTGCAAGTCCACATGGGCTTTGACATAGAAAATATGTCTCAAGCCCACTAGAAAGGGATCCCGACTCGATCCTACTAAGTCAACCCAAAGGGAATGGAGGAGCTGGTCACTATTGATTATGAAATGCATAGTCGGCCCTGCAAATCCGAGTTGAGGACCTTTTAGAGAACCGAGGACGCACCAATAACGCTCACCTTGTGTCCATCCAATACCAAAAAATCTGGGGTAAAATATGAAGAACACGACGTCCTCGAAGACATAACGTCCTCGGATAACAGTGGGTATCCCATTTACCCTGCTTATCCTTCTATGGTCTCTACCAAGCATTAAAATCCCCAGTGAATGCTATGTTTTACCACTCTTGTTACTGTCCCTTGAAGTAATTTGCCTGTCATGACAAAAGGCGCGTACTTATCAAACCAAGTTGCAGGTTTTCACGCATGGCTAAATTATATAAAACTATTTCGAAATACAAAGCATTTGATCACAATTTAATTTCCAGTTCGTAGGTAGTAGCTTTGAAGATCAGAATTACAAAATAAATAAATGACATCAATTTTTCACTTTTTATGAAGACATGAATTCTTATGAATTGAAATAGTATAAAAATAATTTTATCCCTGTTAAAAAAATTGACTAAGCATGTAATCGGGGGGAGAATTTTTTTTTTTTCATGGATATATTTGGCACTGCATATTTGATTGAGAGAAAAATGATATATGAATTTTTTTTTTTGCTATAGTATAAATATTATTTTGCCCTTATAAGCACAAAAAAAATCCTTAAATGAGGAGCTCCTCTGTCTTTTCAGATGAAAAAAAAAAAAAGAAGCAGTAAGAGTATGACCATACCTTGATAAGGAAAAAAATATACATGCATAAAGAAACTTTTTTTTTTCTTTTACTAAAATATTTAAATGGCAAAGTTACCCTTGGGATTAGAAAAGTCAAAGGCAATTACGATAGTGTTTTTGTCTTCTTAAACTATTTGGTTGTTATTTTTTTATTTTAGCAGGGATATTTTGATTATTTTAGGTTTAAGAATATTATTAACAAAAATATTTAGGTGTGCATTGCACACGTCAATGTGTGATGACTTGTGTGTTATTTAAGCTGCATGTAGAGCCCGTACAACAACCAAAATTCTATTTTCACGGTAGTGTTAGGAGCGACACGTCATTTTCTTTTTAGTTATATGTTGCGTGTTCACAAAGAGACTCCGTTGGCATGTGGTTGAGTTTTTTTTTTTTCTTGGCTTATTTCTCTCTTGTTTTCTAGAAAAAAACGCGTGAACTTTCAAAAAAGAAAATTGTGTTATTTGATTTGTAATCTTGTTAATCTTGGTTATCTCTTTTCTAATTACTGTTCATTTGGTTTTTGAAACCTTTTGTAGTTTGGAATTTTTTTAATTTGATTGTTGTCTATTTTTTTTAATTTGATTTTTTTTTTGGTTTGGGTCCTCTACTTTTAATTACTCTATTTATATATCTTATACCTTTCTTGATTTTTTTTCTTGAAATTTCATCCTTTTTATTTTATTGTATTTATTTTTTAATCTATTTTTTCTCCTTGTTTTTTTATTACTATATTTTTTTTATTTTCTTAATTTTTTTTGTCCCTCGACATTTAATTTTGTTTGGGTTTCTATCGAGATTTTATACCCATTAATTCAATAAATTTTTTTATTCCTTTCTTAGTTTTTTTTTGTTTTACAATTTAGCCCATAATTATTTTATTTCATCTTGTGATACCATATTTGGCCTACAATGTTTGAGTTTTAAATTATTTTACAGTTTAATTTTTTTTTTTTATGTTTGAGTTTTAAATTATTTTACAGTTTATTTTTTTTTTGTAGTTGCCTTTCAAAAGTGTAATTTTTTATTAATTTTTTTTTTTTAAAATCACCAATCACCATTTAGTTTTTAAACCATTTTTTATTAATTTTTTTTTTTAAAAAAATCACCATTTAGTTTTTAAACTCATTAGCTTCATTGTTTGATGCACTTTTGGTGTTTTTGTTTTTTTCCGAGTTATTAAGGTTTCATAGTCCAAATAATAAGTTGGTCAAGTCAAACATGCCGCCTTGGATTTTTTTTTCTTGGTTTTTTTTTCAATTTTATACTTTGATGTTAAATTACTAGCTCTTGAGCTATGTGATTTTTTTGCTTTTCTTTCTTTTGAGTTGTCTCGGGTACATATTAGTCAAGTTAATCAGAGTTAGTTTACATTTTCTTACTTAATATTTTTTTTATTTAACTTCGGTTATTTTTGTTAGTTCCTTCTTTTAGAAGTCTATTTTTTTATCCCGATCCAATATCATGAGTTGAGTTAACCTTAGTTGAATTTGTTTTTTTTCTTAAATTTTTTTATGATTTTTTTTCAATTTCTTCATTTTGCATAAAATTATTTACAGTTGAGTTTTGTTATTTTTTTTACTTCTCTTTCCACTTTGTTATTTCTAGAGCAAGTTGATAAAATTAATTTGGGTTAACTTGTATTCTTGATAATAATTTTTTTAAATTTAGCTTGAGTTTTTTTTTACGGGCCTCCTTCTAGAAGTCTATTTTTTTATTCTTTTTTTGAAGAGATGTCTAATTAGTTGAGTCCTACTTCTAGCAGTCTATTTTTTTTTTAAAGAGATGTCTAATTAGTTGAGTGAATCTAAGTTGACTTGAATTTTTTTTTCCTCTATTTATTAATAATTTTTTAATTTTATTATTTTTAATAAATTATTATTTATCAAGCCTCGTTATTTTTTCACTTTTCTCCTTGTTCTGTTATTCTAAAAATGAGATGGTAAAATTAATCTGGATTAACTCAAAGGTTTTTTAATTTTTTTATTGAACTTTTATTTTTTTACTTAGTCATTTTTTGAATATTTTTTATTTTGATCCCCTATTGCAGGTTGTTGGCTAATTAAATTATCTTGAGTTGACCTAGTTTTTTTGGTGTTATATTTTTTATGTTTTTTTATCTTTAATATTAAGTTATTAAATCTTAAATTTTATAATTTTTTATTTATTTTTTTACTATTCTATTTTTATATCTAAGAGTACATTTTTTAAATTAATTTAATTTGAATTATCTCGAATTATCCGCAGATCATTTTGTTAACGTTGAAATAAATTCAACCCGAAACATGGCGCAGCGAGGGGCATACGTATCTAGCAGTTAATAAGAAGAGACAAGCCGGGAAAAGATAATAATCCGGGGCAAGCAGGGGAGGGGCTACCTGGAGACCCAGCCCAGCTGTGTGCATGCCGTTATTAAAGTCTGAAAAACTGTGACCGAATTTTTGCCTAGCCTAAGCGAGCAAGAAATTGACGTTGCCAGCCTATTTGCCGCTGGTATCTGAACATGCCAAGCAAAAAGTCATCTGTGCCATAAATACCGAGAAGATTACTTACGTGCATATGTTTTTTCTTCTTGTGAAATTTTATTTTTTTATATATTTTATTTGACTGTCATATAGTATATTTTTTAGACTAGTTTTTCCCTTTTTTTTCTCTCAAGGAATTTAGATGCTAATCAAGTAAATCTCGAATAAGCGCACAATCAGCCTGACTCGAAATCTATTGATCATATGAATAATCCTAAAATAAATATTCAAAATCTATAATTTATAAAAATTAAATTTTTTTATCTAATAAGCAATAAATAGTTTGTGGATGGATATAAAAAAACCTGCTATCAATGGTCCTCCCTCTTTACTACGTGTTCAATATCGTTATGCATGTTATTTTTTAATTAATTTTTATTTAAAAATATATTGAAATAATCATAAAATATCAAAATATTATTAATTTAATAATTTTTTAAAAAAATTTAATTTTTTTTCAAAAACAGGAGCTAAAGAAGAGATCTACCCAGCATAACTGTATTGACCAACGAGTCATATTATGTGTTTAATCCTAGATCAGTTTGTGCACAGCCAGATTAAAATGTTGATGTCTGGGCACGGTCTTGTCAAAGAGACAGGCCATCGATTATGATCAGACCTCAGACTCGATGAAACCTAAGGGAGAAGGTAGAAAGGACGTGTTATTTTGCCCTAAGAGTTCCAAAGAAAACATTGCTGAGATCATGCATATAATTGATGACTGCGTGTACAATATACAACTCATCGATGATCTTTAATTTCACATGTAAATCATCCTGATGATCAGACCTTTTGAAGATACCTGATCGTGATCAGAGTTATCGGGGGATTAATCGTAATTAATGTATGAATCCAAACCTTTGCATTAATTACTGTGTTAACGAGGAGGAAGTTGACAAATATGTAGAGGGAAAACAAATACACAGTGTGTGTTGAAATATCAGGGACGGTGAGAGTAGATATTTGGAATTATGTTTTGAAATTGTTTTTATAAAAGATTAAAAACTTATTATTATTTTTTTAAATAAATATATTTTAAATAATTTTAAATAATTTTGATGTATTAATATAAAAAATATTATTTTAATATATCATATTTTTAAAAACAGATAATATAAAAGGTACTTGAATGATATTAGTTGGTAGTTGAGAGCTGAATGGCAGCATCTTAATGAGCCCACGTACCATGCTAAAAGAGAGTTGATTTTTTGCACCATTTAATTCTTAAAAACTTTGCATATATATATATATATATATATATGGAAAGAAAGAAAGAAATGAATTTGACTTAATCAAACTTCATCATTAATGCTTTACTAGTAGGATTTTAGGACCATCACTATAAATACGCTCACCCTACTGGTCCTCTTCTCACGGCTATCTTCTTCCTATATATAAAGAGAGATGGGAAAATTTTCAAGCATGTATGTTGGCGTTTTAGCTGTGATAATTGTTTTAGTGCTGGGTATAGCAGAATGTAGAAAAATAGAGAAAGATGGCTTTGGAGATGGTGCTGGGGGAGGTGGAGGCTTTGGTGCTGGTGGAGGAGGCGTTGGAGGAGGAGGTGGTGCTGGTGGTGGCTTTGGAGGAGGCAAGGGTGGTGGTGTAGGAATTGGAGGCGGCAAAGGTGGAGGGGTTGGGGGTGGTGTAGGTGGGGGTGCTGGTGGTGGCATTGGAGGTGGGCCGG